AAAAAAAAAAAAACAGATGGAAAACGAAGTACATAAACCTCAATAAATTTAAAGATTCACTGTCACCCCATATTGAACGTCTCGACGCACAATGTAACAGTTGCAATAGTGGAAAAGACATCGACGCAATGCATAAAGATTGCAGAACGCAGCAACGTCCACGCCCTAAAAAAAACAAGCTCCATACCTAAGAGCTGCTTACAAAAAGACGGATTGCAAAAGCGAAATTTTCACTCTGGAAAGAATACTGTACGAACACTGCGAATAAGTTCGGAACTATCTTCCGTATCGCACATGATAAGATGTTTTCGAATCTTACGGCCACAATAACCTACGGAACAGCAACTAACACAGAAGTAGTAGCGCACATTCTGGACAATATCTTCAGATCTGATAACACAAACAGGTGACAGGTGACGGAGGACGAGGGCGCCTGATGTTTAACATAGGTAAACAGGCATATGCCCCGCGTCCTCCACTATCTAGTGGCAACAACTCCCTGGAGCTTCATCAGGCTGCCTCGGGAGTATATTTGAATTTTAATGAGAAAGTTACATGGCCATACAAGGGCGGTTGACATAGTCTACATTACAAGTGATGTATATGACATTTGAAGGTTTTAGGATTACAGTGGTTACACGAAATAAAAAAAAAAAAAAAAAGAGGGGGGGAGGTGGCATAATAATGTAAGATATAATACACATAACAACATTGAATAACATTTAGACCATACAGTACACATAAAAACACTTAAAATACACAGAACATACTCACAGACTACTAAGTAGAGTACTAATAATGCATTCATGTGATGCTGTTAGAACATATAATGCTGGGCAGATGTAATACTATGTGACATATAAAAACGTGTAATAAAACTGGTAAGATCACAGGATACAGAGCAGAGATAAAGCTGCGATACTAGTGAAAACACATGGTGCATGCCAGATATAAAGCACGCGTGTAACATTGCCAGATATAAAGCACGCGCGTATACTAATTAAAACACATGATGCAGGGCAGTTTTAAGACAGATAATAACATAAGTTGCAAATAATTATTAGCAATGAACTTTTGGTTTACATATGAAACAGATGGTAGTATATGAGTAATAATACTTATGGGGAGACAATTCATAGTGCATGAACCTAGGCTAACACATGATAGGAGTACATGATGAAGAGCAAATATGTTAATAGTATATACACATTATACAGAGCAAATATAGAGCTAAATAAAAGACATGATTCAGGACAACTATAATACTGATAAAAACACATGACTTTGGGCAGAGATGATGCTATTTAAAAGCACATGATGCAGGACAGAGATAATACTAATGAGAAACACATGATGCAAGCATGAATATGATACACATGGTACAGGGCATATGTTATACTAATAGAAACTCATGATGCAAAGCAGATATAATACAAATAGGAGCATATGATACAAATAAATATTAGGGTACTTTATGCAGAGCAGGTATGATGCTGGTATATACACATGATGCAGAGCAAATCTAGAGCTAATTAAAAACGTGACATAGGGCAGATATGATACTAATAGAAATACATGAAAATACATTATGCAGTGCAGTTTAAGTTCTAATGAACACGTATGATGCAAATCAGATATGAGAAAAAAAAAAAAAAGGGCCACATGCCGCTGAGCAGGTATAGTACGATTAAAATCATTTGATGCAGGACAGATATGATACTAATGAATATACATGATGCAGAACAGATAAATAGCTTATAGGCTCATATGGTACAGAGCATATGTTGTACTAATAGGAACGCATGATGTAAAGTAGATGTAATACAAATGAAAATATTTAATGCAGATAAATATTTGGGGTAAACAGTTGGTGTTTCATATAATGCATATGATAGTATATGTGTAAAAAAAAAAAAAAAACTTATGATTAGACAACTCATAGTGCACGAACTTAGGCTGTCATACGATTGAAACACATAATGCAGTGCAAATATGATATTAATGTATATACATGATGCAGAACAAATATAGAGCTAATTAAATGACATGGTGCTGAGTAGATGCAGTACAGGTGAAGAACGAGTAAATACACTTGGTACAAAGTAAATATGATGCCAATAAATACACATGGTGCAGAGCTGATATGATACTAATAGCAAAGCAGATATAATACGAATAAAACACATTGTGCAAATAAATATTAAGGTAGACAAAGATACATATGATAGTATATGAGTAATAAGTGCTAATAGAAACATATGATACAGGAGAGCTGATATGATGCTTATAGGAAGGCATGCTACAGAGTCGTTATAATACTGACAAAAGCACATAATACTGTGCTTGTATAGAACTAATAAGGACACATGACAGCGTTAAAGTTCATTAAATATTTGCTATTGTGCAAGAGTTCTCAAACCAGTTTAAGTTCTGTTTAGGTATAAGATATAAGGTATGCGTGTGTAAATTGTAGTTTCCTGGATAAATGCAGTGGAAAACCTTATGTTGATTAAATGGGCTGGCAGATATCCTGACCTAGTGCCGCGATAAATTTTATAATTTTACATATTGCATTAATGCTTCCCTTGTGCTTAATTATCAGTCGGTGGTAGGCAGTTATGTTGCTCGTGGGCATGAAAAGATGCATGGTATCTGTCAGAGGGCACCTGAATAGGTAGTGGTCTGGCGTTCCGTCTTCTCCACAGACACAGATGTCTGTATTTGATATCCCATGTCGATGAAAATAAAGACGGGAACGGCCCGTGACCTGTTATGTAGTTTACCAAAGGAGCAATGGCGATAAGGCGGTCAGTTGATACCTTTGAAATACGCTCATAGGTGCGCCTCCCTGTTTCCGCATTAGTCCATTCTTCTTCTTGCCATTGTCGTATTGCTTGTCCCTGCAAATGACGCTTTAGATAGGATGGTGGGGGGCAGGAATATTTATTTCTTGTGCTTCGAGATTGCTTGCAGCATCCTTAGCCAAACGGTCAGCTGCTTCATTTCCCTGGTTGCCATCGTGGGCTTTGACCCAGACCATGGTAATTTTAGTGTGACGATTATGCTGCAGGATGTCTTGCAAGTTAATGATGCTCGGCGATACATGGTGTTGATTTTCTATTGCATTTATTGCTGAAAGGCTGTCCGTGTATATGGTAGCTGCCTGTATATTGTTGTTGAGTATATGCTGTACCGCTGCTGTGAGAGCAGTAACTTCCGCCTGAAAGACGCTGTTTTCCGGTTTCAGATGTCCTTTCCATGTGTATTCGGTGTTGGAACCATCATAGTGTATAAAGGCACTACCTACTCCATGTTCATGCTTCGAGCCATCCGTGTATATCTTCGTGAGGGTGTCTCGATGAAGGCAGTTGGATTTAACTGTGCGTATGCCTGTCCCTTTTATTGAGGGATGTGTACGCAATACGTCGCCCCGATGCTCATATTGGACTGGGCTATAGGTAGTGTTTCCAAATGTCGCATCTCGGCGCAAGTGGATCAGTTGGGCATATGCAGATTCCATTAAGGCTTTGATATGCAGTGGTATGATACCAGCTAGTACCTGTGCTGCATTTGTGGCTGTAGTTCGATATGCTTTGCATAGGTTTATCGCAAAAGGTCTTTGCAAGGCTGATAGTTGACGGATTTTCCTGGCTCCCATTGGGTTTGCCCAGATTGGGGCTGCATATAATGCGATTTTCTCTGCAACTGTGAGATATAACAGTTTTCTGAAAATGGGGGCTCTGACCCCAATTCTTGCCCTGAAATTGGCGCGCTGTTCTCGCTATTCGAGATGTTTTTAACACGAAGGTCTTGTATATGAGGAATAAAGGTTAGACCGGAGTCCCATGTTACTCCTCCTAGATATTTAAGATTTTTAACGAACTTAATATTTCTCCCCCGTTTAATTTAATACAGGGCCGTCGTGTTGGATTTGTTTCCTGGCCTTGGAATGATCAACGCTGTTGACTTTTCTGTTGATATTTGAAGCTTAAGTCGAGTGCAGTAGTCAGCAAAAAGTGTGCAGACTTCTGTGCCGTTTTTCTCCAGTTCGTTGCGTGTGCGTCCTCGCACCAGGAGTGCAGCATCATCTGCGTAGGCGACAACTCGCGTGTGTGCGGGCCAGTCTGCAGCGAGCACTTCGTTAAATGTGATGTTCCATAGGAGGGGCCCCGCGCAAGAGCCTTGCGGGCAACCTCTCACTTGGGCTTTGGATGAAACACCTGCATCGTGGGACATTATTAACATACGATCTTGTAAGTAGCTTGTGATTGTTAGATAAAGGTTGGTCGGGCATTTTGCATTGCGTAAAGCTTGTTTGATTGCTGGCCACCACAGAGTATCAAATGCGCTGGCCAGGTCAATCGAAATGAAAGCCGTATGCATATTATCATTTCTATTCTTCTGGATGCAATCCTTGATTGTTGAAAGGGCTTGAACGGTGGAAGATCCTATGCGGAAACCGAATTGTCTGACACTTAGATATTTGGTCTTGTGCAGATGATGACGAAGTCGATTGACAATCAGCTTTTCATACACTTTGCCCAGTGCAGACAACAAGCAGATTGGCCTGTAAGACCGCGCGGTTCAGCTGGATTTTTGAATTTTTTCAAGAACAAGACTACCTGTCCCTTCTTAAATACGGTTGGGAAGAGCTTTGCCTGAAGTAATTTATTGAAGAATTTAGTGAAGAAATCTGGATTGGCTTTATATGCAACTTTAATTATTGAATAGTCCAGGCCATCCGGTCCTGGGGCTTTTTTCAGGGGTAGGTAGCGAAATACATGAGCGATTTCTTTTGCTGAGAAAGCAAAGCATAATCATCTGGCGTATCTGGGATAGTTGTATTGTTTCGCACTGCACGTTGTTCCAGTGTATCTTCATGCGGATCGTCCTTTGCAAAAATTTCGTCAAGAAGGGTGGCAGCTGTAAACCCCGCTGGGTTTGTTGAAAGACTAGCTGTTGGAACCTGTGCTGGTTTGAATACCTTCTGTGTTGCAATCTTATGTAAGATCCCGTAGGGATTCGTATTGTTGTTGCAGAATATTCTTCTTATATTTAGCTCGCTCTTGCCGGTATGTAGTCAGAATCTGTGCTTTGGTCTCTCCGTCCACGTTGCCTCTTAGTCTGCGGCGCAAAGCTCTGCATTTTTGTCTTTGTTGCCTTAGTTCGCCGGTCCAGCAAGAGATTCCTTGTAATTTCTTGGTTGTACGGAGGGGTAAAATTTGTTGAAATATTTCATTAAGTTCCTCTAGAAGTCCTTGTGCAAGGGAATCAAGGTGTTCTGAGTTGTTGCAAGATTCTAGCTGCAATTCTTTTGCTTGCAGGAGACGAGTAAAGGCCTGGGTCAATTGTCTAACCTTGTTACCTGGCAGCCTATAGCGTTTAATTATAGAAATGGTGGTATCTGTTTGTATAGTAAATTCTACGTATTTATGATCTGAACAACTTTCAGAGTCTGAGACATGCCATGAATGTATGTTGTTAGCAATATCATAAGTTGAGATCGTTAAGTCTGGCCATCCTTGATTGTACGAATTATCGAATGTAGGTGGTGCATTCGTTGTATTGTGCAATTGTAAATTGTTTGCCGCAATATAATCTTCAAGCTCCTGCCCTTTTGGATTTGTGGTACTATACCCCCATATAATATGATGGGCATTAAAGTCGCCTCCTATGACTTGAGCTGTGTTTGGAAATTTTCTACTTGTTTCGCTTATGTGGGCGACAGTGCTGCCAATTGCATCTGTTGGTGGTGAATACACCGAAGTAAGGATAAATTGCATATTTTCAAAAATGATTAGAATGGCGACATAATCCCTATGCAGCTTGATGACTTGTGGTGTCCATGCGGGGTTGCAGCAGGCAATTGCTACTCTAGGAGCAAGATCTGCCGTCGGGGACTCCTTTTGGTATATTTTCCATGCAATAGGTAAGCTAGCGACGTGACCTTCTCTACAGTATGGTTCCTGCATGATTACGAGGTCTATGTCGTTGGAAATAACTTGCGTGAGGACATGAGATGTTGCTGCCTCAGCCCTTTGAAGATTGATTTGCAGGCATTTGATGATACTTGTGCTTAGTGTACCTATGTTCCTGCTTGATGGAGGTATAGTATGTGGAGAGAGAATCTGCATATGATTATTGTTATTATTAGATTGGATTACAGGCGTGTTGTTGTTAGCATTAGTAGCAGATAGACTATTCATAGATAGTGCTGCGTTTGATCCGTTCGACGTATCTCGTGTATGTTGGACAGGCAACATCATATGCTGGATGGTCGCAAGCTTTTTTTGTCTCGGTTGCGGTAGTTACTGTCTGCACAGTTGATGCATGTGGCTCGTCTGGCTTGACAGTCTTTGATTGCATGATTCCCCGAGCAGTATGCACAATAGATTTTATTTTGGCATCCCTGCTGGGTATGGCCAAATGCTTGACAGCGGTAGCACCTCTTAGTGTTGAAGTACTCTGAGATTCGATGTGCCCGCCAGCCGATGAGTAGTTTTCTGGAGCGCATGAGTTGTTGGAAGGCATCGGGATTACATTCGACAATCCACTTGACTGTGTTACTCCTTTCTTTGAGCCTGTACAGGATTTTGGCATTATTCTTGTTAATATGGAGTTCTAAACTGATGACTCGTCCAAGTTCCTCCTGTGTAACGCTTAATGGGATATTGTGTATAGCAACCCTGGGAAGCCTTGTGCTTGGGATCTTGGTTTGCAAGAATTCTTTAGCCTTTTCAGTCTGCAGTTTTTTCCGAGAGTGCGTGAATGTCCTCCTTTGTATGGCAATCCACTGCAAGTCCTTCCTGCGGGATGTATCTTAATGCTGCTGCTACTTGAACTCCCAATGTGGGTAACGGAAATTCAGCAGTCAATTTTTCTTTTAACACTTTCCTGGATGTTGTGGACGGGTCTTTAGGGTAGATCAGCAAGGTGTGTTTAGGCTTTTGCGCCGTTACACTTGCGTAGGACTTTCGATTGTCTGTTGCCTTTTGCGCTAGATTAGGTGCAGCTGTGATGTGTTGCTGTTGACTTGCTAGTTCACACGCGAAAATACTGGATGTGTTGACTGCTTTATCGACGGTATCCGGAGGTGGGATATACTCAGATACTCCCAAAGCCAGAATTCGGAAGGCTTCAACCGTGTCTATCAGTTGCTTTCGCAAGCCTAGGGGTAGAATATTTTTTGCCACCTCGAAAGGAAGTTGCGATCTTTTTAATTTCGTCAGTGAGTTTATCAATCTTCTCAGTATAGCTTATGTCCGAGGTAATGAATGTTTGCAAAGCAAATTCTCTCGAGTAAGTGGAGGAATCTGTGTCACTCATCGTATGGGAAAGGATCTAAGTTTTTTCTGTACAGTACTGCGTTTGGTGCTGAATTTTTATATTTCTATCTGGAATACAGGAAAAAGTCAAATTTTCTTACCTTGGCAGCAGTATTTCATCTGTCCTTCATCTGTATAAAGGTATTCCATAGTAATCCAAAGGCACATAGACACTGAAACACAACACTGCACTGTAATAGGAAGTCAAACTACGCAATTTTGCAGCTTGAAAATTCTAAGTTAATAAATGTCGAAAAAATTATATCTTTGGAACCAGTGGGCCGATCACGACCAAAATTTGAAACTTCTGCTTCTGAAGATAGATGATGAAGATTGCCGTTTATTCCAGCATGATACAGCAATTAGGAAATTAATTAGCAGGCAGCTAATAAAGTGTCCACTTCATAAAAGGAAAGCCGTTGCGAATGTCCTTGACGAAAACGCGCTACCCAGAAGGGGGGGACGGTGGCACCTAACGGTCGAAAATGCAGCGTGAGCGAAAAAAGCGCTAAATTAAATGAGTAATTTCTGCATAATTATTCAACCAATTATCCAATCTTGATGAAACTTATATCAAAATACTGCTGAGATGATCCTCTATCCGGCTATGTAAAAATCCGGCTGCTACGACGTCCGTCGGTGTATCCACGGGCTGCGAAGTTGAGGAACACGGCGAAAATGGCTCCAAGTCGTGAATGATAGTGTTAAAAACTTTGAAGTTCCATAAAAAAAACGACTAAATGTCGTAATGACACAATTTTTATATATGTGTACTCCTGATGATGTTAGCTACACGTAGCAACTACTTTTACAGCGGTACGTTGAGAACTTCCGCTGATATTAGGCGAAACGGCGGAGCGACAAATACACGTCCTGACACAGCAAGTTTTTAATCATGGCAGCTGATAACACAGACAAATAATCTCGCACAAAGAAATACCGGAGCCAGTGTTGAACACTATTACAAAACAAAGAAAACAGATATAGAACCGCTGGCAACCGCCAAAGAAATGGGTAACATTGTTAAAGCATTAAATACCAATAAAGCCCTAGGTCCTGATGAGGTAGATTATGGCATTCTGCAAGCCATTAACAGTACGCATCCGGTGTTACTGTACGCCTGTACGCCTACAAAACTGCGTGTTGGCGCAACAGACATTTCCCAGGAGGCGCGAAACTTAGTGACGTGGTGCTCTTCCTTAAAGCGAACAAAGAGCCTAATGTACTTATCGGCCCATTTGCCTCCTGCCTGCCTTGGGTAAAGTACTGGAAAGAGTCCTCCTTCAAAGACTTGAACACTATATTCTGTCTGGACAAAGTATAAGTGAAAAGCAATACAGTTTCATCCCTGGCAGATAGGTGGATCATGCCCTGCAACATTTATGAAAAATGATAGTCAATAACAGAAGAAATAATCAGCACAATCTCATTATCTCTATGTACATACAGGGCGCCTTCAGTTCGTTGTGGTGGCCAGACGTACTCAAGTGATTACAGGACATCGGTTGCCCCAAGATCCTTTTGACCTAATTTACAGCTACTTAAGCGATCGCCGCTTACAAGCCACAACGGACGCAGATGTGGATTCACGATCAATCAATAGAGGCTGTAATCAAGGATCCTGTCTGAGTCGGTACATTGGAATCTTGTAGCCGACACAGCGCTGAATCACTTTAACCCAGATCCTCACACGGAAGTACTGGCTTATGCAGATGACTTTTTGGTGGTAACCAAAGAGCACAGCCGCAACGCATATGAGACTAGGGTGCAAGAAGCAATAGACAAGATGGCTAAATGGGCCAATGATCATAAGTCAATTATTTCCAATTTAAAAATCTAAGGTATGCTTATTTTCCCAGGTAAGCGCCATCGAAGAACCCCGTGCATCAACCTTCATGGCAAAAATATTAAAATAGTTAGAAACTTTAGGTTCAGAATTGATTCGGAACACCAATTTATGTCAAGAAAACAGATGGAAAACGAAGTACATAATATATAATAAGTGGCGTTGTAATTGACAACACTCACTTGGATGCCACATTTAAAGGAGATCAAGGGACGACTTCACGAGATATTTCATTCCACGCTCAGAACAGCACTACCAACATATGAGTTTCTTCGAAGATGCTTAAGACGTGGTACTCCGAAGCTGCTGAACGTATTGCAGTGTATAGGGTCTCTATGTGGAGCATAACGGTCACTACTAAAATGGAAAATCTGTTACGCTTGGCACAAAGACCGTTCCTCCTAAGCATTTCCCGAGGATATAAAACCTCGCCTACTAATGCACTAAACGTGATTTCACAATAGCCGCCTCTGCATCTCTTAGCTAAGAGCCAGAGTACAATAGTGCATGTGTTCCGACTGAAAAAGACAACAAGTTTGTGGGATAGAACTTATGTATATACTGACTATGAGCAAAGCAGTTCCAAGCCATCTTGTCATCCAGCCGAATTCAGTATTTTGATTAATTGTAAGTCACCAACGTGGTTCAAAGCCACTGCAATCTACACTAATGAGTCAAAGGAGAATGTAGCATCGATAGCGGATATTGTGTTCTATATAGGAATCATATGTTAAAGACTTTTGATTCTGGGAAAGAAAGCTTAGGAACCACAACTCAGTTTTTCAGGCTGAACTGATTGCATCGAAAGTGTTATGTATTAATTGTTTATTAATTTCAAGCTTTAAGTTAATTGCGTCTTAATTCAGTTTGGTCAACTGAAGTTATTAATTTGTTTTAAAGTTTCTGTTTTTGTTTGGAATAAATTGATTGTAAGTTAAGCTTTAACTTTTGGTAAATTTTAAATTTAAGTTGAAAGCTTTAAAAGTTTTTCATTTTTCTTAAGTGGGTTAACTTTAATTTAGGAACTTAAAATTTTACTTTGGTTTTTGTACTTGTTTGTTTCTGACCCTTAAGGTTATTTAACTTTTAAATGTTATTAATTTTTTAAAACGTTTTGTTGCTGCACTTTTGGTGTGTTAATTTTAATTCTAAGGTAGCTTAACTTTTATTTATTATGTGTGCATTAAACTGAACTTAATTTGTCAAATAACAGTTTAAGTTTTCAGTACTAAATTTGTTAATTGTGATGAAAACTCTATTTTACTAGCTCAGTAAATTTATCCCACCAAAAATTGTCCACTTGGAATTCTGGTTCTCAGAATTTCCTTATCTTGGGCCTGCTGCACCTCGAATTCCTTTGCCAAGTAATGCACCATATGTGCGGATTAGCATATTTTGCACCCCTTTGCTCAGAGATCTCCAGCAGAATAAAAGCTGAACGTGTCTATGCACTGGAAAATAATTACTCCTCTATTTATTCAGACTCGACCTCTAGTCTTCAAGCAATCCAAGCCAATGCAGTAAAAAATCCATTCGTCAGAGCCATACAAAAACTCTGAATAAATACACCAAAATACTATAGGCACAAACTTTAAAAAGGTACTTGCCCACACCGGAATAATGGGTAATGAAATTGCAGATGCAACAGCCAAAATAGAAGCAACTGACCCCCATGTTCGCACACTTTGATGTGCCTCTGCCTGGCTCGTTCTTAAAGGCTGAAATCGAGAGAGAATTATTGAAGCGTTGGCAGCATCTGTGGGAGACAGAGACTACTGGCAGAAGAGTTGATGGGTTTTCCCCAAACGTCTGTGGGCTTCTACGAGTGGCTCGCCTCACTTTAACCAGTTCATAACAGAGCATGTCCCTTCATAATTTACCTGCATCGCTTCAGATGACGCAAAAATGATCAGTGCTCATGCAGGATGGCAGGAGATCCGGACTACTATGTGTTAGTTTGCAT